AAAGGCGCCGTGGCCCACCGTAGTCAGGCAACAGGTCGCACTCGACTGCGCCACAACTGGCTCTCACAGTGCTGAAAACAGAGAAGAGGTCGCACTCGACTGCGCCACATCTGGCTTTTACAGTGGTGAAAACAGAGACGAGGTCGCACTCGACTGCGCCACATCTGGCTTTCACAGTGCTGAAAACAGAGAAGAGGTCGCACTCAACTGCGCCACATCAGGAGCAATTAATTATATTACTGGACTAGCTTAAATAATAGACTTTTTAAGTAAAGCTTTCTGTATATAATTTAATATATTTAGGTAGTTCTACTAAGAAAGCTTTTTAGGGATTAGTAATATATTACTATATCAGGCTCTTATAACACTGGATCTTGAGCTGTTAATCCTTAAATACACTTTCAACTGGCTTACTGGTAGTGTCTTCTATAAAGAACTTAAAGAGCATAAGTGTCAAGCACATGGTTCTGGTCTTTTACCTTCTAAAACAGGCAATGATGGCGCTTCTATCCTCTATATAGCCCCGAACATATCTTATTTTGTCCTTGTCCCTTATCGACTGTATTTGGGGTTATTCATCCAGCTTGTCCTTAGGACGGCTCAATCTGTAGGAAGCAGCTCTATCCAGCTAACAGCTCCACAGCCAAAGACTCCTTGTCAGTACCCACAACGGAAGTGCATCCGGCTTGAGCAGGTGGACTAGTTGTGGGTCCCATGGAGGATATACATTGTGGAGTACCTTCTATATTAAGGTTCATGTCCATAGGAGGTTCAGTCTTGCTCAGGGTTGTTATCGCGGGACATTGGCGATTTTTATTTGTATCCTCATGTAAGTCAACTAAAACTTCAGTTGAAATACTTTGTGTCTCAGTCAATCAACAGTTTTTGATTCCCCTTGACTTTTGCTCTTGTGAGGGAGGGAAATTATGCACACAGAGTAAGGCTAGCGCCAGCTCTAGTGCTTATCCGATCCACCTTTCATCTTGATCTACACCGTGAAGTTGAAAGAGGCTATAGAGACCCTCATGGGGTCAAACTAAAAAGTGCACAAGAACCTAATGTGGCCCTTAGGTTGTTGGATAACCTCATGGTCGAAGATCCTGTTTGTCAAAAACGGTACCTTGAGGAGCTACAAGATAGTGCCATACAGTATCTAGTTGAACAAAGTGCAGACAGTCAGGTATTTAGTCATTCTATAGAGAAAAGGTACAACGATGCTTTGAAGACTGCAGGACTTGTGATGGGCCATGACCTGAATCTTACAGCTTTTGAACGGCGTAGGATTATACACATAGTATGGCTTACTGCAATTGTTGTCAATGGGACTTTTAGAATAACAGTATAAAGCTCACAGAGACATAGATCTTTAGCCGGATTTTCAATTGTGTAGTCAAGATCCACGGTGATTTGTAGGCAGGTCGTCTGTGATTATCTGGGGGCACTTCAGAACTTAACTACGTGGTGTTCTAATAAGCAAATAATGCAGTAGCGCACTTTGAAGTAATTGAATGGGCAGTTATATACACCAGAAACGGGACTGACATAACTTTTAGTGATAATTAGCCGTTGGGAGATGCCGCAAGAGGACTTGTCGAGGCTCACAAGGGTTAATAAACTACGCCTCCAGCTTTAAAGCCTTCCGTAGCCAACGAAGATTATCAACCTCATCCATACAACGGCAACGGCCACTTTTAGCCAGAACTATGGTGAACCAATCTGTTCCCTGTTCTGATTTTCCGGTATATCCGGCCTCTCAACATCTACCTGGACTCTTGCCCTCGGCACTTTCCTCAAGCCCGAACGATTTTTTTATAAAAAAAAAACACCTCTGAGGTGCCTTGCTTGCGCCGACGGAGCAGCTTTTGGATTATGTTCACATCTAAGCCTCGAAATAAAGGCTTCCACTACTAATATAACAGAACACTATATATACTTCCGCCATCATCCGTTTCGGTTGGTAACCTTGTGATACATAGACCATTAGACATAACGTTTCCTATGGTCGGCATGGCGGCTGGAATACTCAGACCAAACTTTCCCATACTTCTCCCTTTGTCGAATCGTTTGGACTTTAATTATATCCTACTTACGAGCTGATTCCCTTGGCGGAGCACCGCCCAGACGAGCCCGACCCTCACCTTCTTAATGCCAGTTGCCGCATTTCATAGCTTTGGCATCCAGGGTGGCTGTATTGCTGGAACATCAAATAGCGTAGTTTATGGCGACCCATATCATTTGTGTTCGTTAGGTATCGCCTCTTACTTAATTGTTTTCTCCCACGCCCTCCTAGCTAACTGCTCCATCCTGTAGCACACATTTATCCCGCTACTGTCGCCAATTCTTTTCGATGTTCACCCAAGTGAGCACGCTATTTAGTGTAGAACCCTGCATCTGAGCAGTGTTTTCGGATGTATGAGAAGCAATGTACACTGGTGGAGTCAACAACAACCGACTGAATATTTCGTTTCTTCTATTCATGCCTTTTTCTTCGGCATCAGAAGGCGTCTCTCATTTGCGTCCTTCAATAAATATAAAAAGTAGAATTCTTCCAGTCGGTTCTATCTCTTGCTCTGCAAAGGCCTTAATAAATGTGCAAGTAGTAACAGATAATCAGATAAAAAATAATGGAGTTTGTAAGGTTATCTGTTTCACGAAGCTGGTTATAGTCATTACTGAGCTACTTGCTACATGACCTTGAGCCCATGTTAGATGGCTTGCGTTTTCGCGCTAAAAATGCGCCGGCTGCGGCTTGCCTCAACCGCGGACGAATCAGATACCTCAAAGGGACTGATCTTCATTTGTCTACCTTAGCACCTTTGTGCCATTGGACATCCATACTATCCGGATAGACCATTCCGGCGCTAGTATGTGGGATCTATGGGGCTTGGTGTCACCACGTACTGGCAAATGGACTGGCAAACGGGCTGGCAAACGGGCTGGCAAATGGGCTGGCAAACGGGCTGGCAAACGGGCTGGCAAACGGGCTGGCAAACGGGCTGGCAAATGGACTGTCGTAAGGCGTCGCCTTTAAAACATATCTTTTTATCTACATTTAGGATCTTATCAAGGCTTATTTGTTTACTACAGAAGCTTTAGGATAAACTTCAAGTTGTGTGAAAAAACTGTATTCTTAGTCATGCTGCCTGACCTGCTGCTACTCTAGTTATGTAAAAAGAGAAAGGAATTTAAAGTAAAAGCCCTATCCGCGCTCCAGAGATCAAGGCGATATGTAAAGAATAACGTTGAAATAATAAGAAACTGATTAAATGCTAGATAGAATACTATATTTACTGGCTACCAAGTCGCAACAGAGTGGCTTTATTAATGATAATTATCTAGTCTTAGCTCCTGCCGGGCGGTAATATAACAAGAGTAAGTAGGAAAGGACAGTAAATAACTTCCCAGAAGAAGAAATACAGACATCTGGTCTTACAGCTCTGATATATTTGTCTTACAAAACCTTCGCAAAGGTCATTTAGCCTCCTACGTCTTCATTGTTGGTCGGTGTAAGAGCTTCCTCTGAAATGTCATTTCACGGCTCGATGCAGGCGCTTTCGCCTTCTGGGAACGGCAAGCCTCTCGCAAAGGAACTTGGGCATGGCACCCTGGCTTGTTTTAACGATCAACTCAGAAACACCGTAAGAACAGCTCCGTCTGGCTTTACATCTCTAAGACAAATAGAATAAGGCTCTTAGTAGAAAAGGTCTATCTGACTATTCCTAAGTTGGTTCAGTCTCTATATCTATTAGCTCTTAAATACTTATATTAAGACTTTTTTACAAGTAACTATAAAAGAATTAATAATAATCTATATCATTAAATAATATATACCCTTATTAATATATAAAGCAGGAAGTCTATTTTACCTAACAAAAGCACACAGTAAGTATTGCCTATACATAATCCACCAATATATTTACATATAGAGCTTATAAGATATTGCATTGCCTTCTGCTTAAGAAAGCTCCAGCAGCGTTCTCAGGAGGTCGCCAAAATTGAAGCTAGCTAAAGCCTACCTAAAGTGTAATACTTTCGTTTTTGTAATAACTCTAGAGTCAATTCAAACTCTTCCATCTCTATATAGATAATATTCAAAATATCATATAGCTTAGCAACCTTATTTTGCATATAAAAGCACCATGAGACCTGCTCAGCAGCACACATGCATTTCTTCTTTTAACTGCAGACATGGTTAGTGATGAAATCGCCCCTTTATAAACATCGAATGCAGCATTACAAAGAAGAACAAGAGATCTAAGAAGGCGTTAGAATAAGGAGCCCTAGAAAGAAGATCAAGAACGAAACGTAGAAAAGCAAGTAGCTTTACCTGAGTCTCCATTAATCCTATTAGCGATCGTGTACATAAAACCACGTCCATGCAACACCAGTATATTTATTCCTTTACCTTTGTTACCCTACTCACTTATTACAAACATGACTATTTGATTCAACTACCTCCTCTGAGGTCAGAACATTTTGGCATCGTGTTTGTCTCATCTCAAAGCTTTCCCACATTCATCAGAGAATAAGAATCCCTACCCTTGTAAAATCGTTCCGTGTCTCACTACGAGTTATATGACAAGGGTGAATAGCCAATAGCGTCGCCCCTTTTTGAGAAACTCGCAGAGCTAACCAAAATAGCCTAGCGCCGACAAGTTGAATTATGGCCATCCCGGGAGGGTGGACGAACTGTCGGTGCAGTGTTCTAGGACTTATCCATTTTTCTCATGCTTCTGACGAGCCTCCTCTGTGGCTACACGCTGCGTCTACTAGCGTTACCCGCCCCTGTCTCCCTAGCTAAACTACTCCGTCATCCGACAACAAACATGGACCGACATTGTGGTACTAGGTATTGAGAACGATTTGACAACAACTGAAATGAAGAACCTGTCACACACAACTATTAATATGTAGCCCCCTCTCCCCCCTAAACTCCTGCCTTTCTTATCTATCATCCAATTTTCATGCACCTTCCTCCTTGTTCTCGTTCCCCTATGATCATGTTATCATCACAACTGAGCTTGGCGGGCCCTAAAGCCATATCCTCCTCTCAAGCCGGCAGTGACAATATTCCTCCCAGTCTGCACACATCTAATGTCCGCTTCAACTGGCTTGAAGCATCAAGCTCCGGTATCACCTCGCCATCTGTGAAGTCGATCCATCACGGCGACATTCCCTGTGAGGCTCAGGCATTATGGATCAAGAAGGAGGACTGTTGGCCCCTTGGGCATGCCATCACGGTCGTATTTCTTGAACTACCAATCCATCCTGACGCCGATGAAGTGATTCAGATAGTCGCCCAGTGTGCTGAGCAGTGGGTTCAAGACGCAAACATCAGCTTTCAATTTCTCGCGACCACGGCAGATAGCCACGCGAAGGGAAGTGCTGACCTCCAAATCACTTTTCAGCCTGGCGTCAGCTGGTCTGTCGTTGGAACACGGGCGCTGCAGGTCCAAGGGAGAACTATGAATCTTGCAGTAGAGCCAGGGCATATGCCCGATCAGATCCGTCGTATGGCATTACATGAGCTTGGGCACGCCCTTGGATTCCGCCATGAGCACGCCTCCCCGGCATCCGACCTCAACTTTGACAAGGAAAAATGGATGATTCATAACAATGGAACAGAGCAAGATTTTGAGACGAACTTCGAAAAGCGAATTGATGACCAGCCTCGCCTAGTATCAAAATTCGACCCTCAATCCATCATGATCTACGAGATCCGTCGAGAGTGGGAATGGAATGTGGACGGAGTTCACATCCCTTTGAACAATCGTCTGTCCGTCATTGACCAGGCAGTTATCAAAATTGCATACCCCCTCGAAGCGACCAAATGTCAACTTGTCAATGGCATGTGGTACTGTCATAAAGGGACCTGCAAGCCGGGAAGGCTTCAGTGTGATCTTTGCAAGCACATTTCAGAGCACTCTCTTATGGGAGAATAGGAATGGTCAGAAATCGGTTCGATAAAATGTCCTAGGTAGAGATGGCGACGATGGTATTGTTCAAGGAGTTGGGTCTTATATTAAGTATCTCTACTGGCAAGTAGGGTTTCTGGCTGTACTACGCTCCTTTCTAGATAGTAAATGTATTGATCAAGATTTAGATACAATTAGATAGCTCCTGCTTATTCTCCTTATCATCGACCCAAAAAATATTGTGCCATCATTGAGGTAATATGAGTTCTTTTCAGTAATATGCATTCAATGCATTCAATGCATTCAAACGCTAACAATTGTCAAATGGTGAGATCAACATGGTTGACTGGCGGACCTACTAGTCAGACAATCTTCCTTCCATAAAGTGGCCGGCACTTACTCTTATTAATCTGAAAAGCAAGGCATTTCAAACTCCTGTTGTGTGGCCCTCTGCTATGCGTACCATAACAGTTGAATAGCCAGTGCTCTGACATTTCAGAGAACGTAGCAATGAGCTGTGTGTTGGGGACTGATGGTCTCAAGCGTTTGGGTTGATCCGTAGCGCACGGACCAGATACACATCCTGTTGAAATGTGGGTCTTGAAAAGTTTGAATCACATCTAGCCAGCCAAGACTCATACTAGCAGCAGGTCAAGACATTAGATCCTTATTCGTTCAAGTTGGCCACGTCACATCCCCTGAACAACCGCCGCCCGCCGCCGCACCGCCAACTGGAGGCACCAGCCTATTATGCTGTTTTACCGCCCTGCCGCCCTGGTCGGGTCTGGGAAGCTGTGCTTAGACATGACCCACTCAACACAGCTAAATGAGTGGCTGCAGACTGTCCAGATGCTGCCGATAGAAAACTTTAAATAGCGGGCACAACAAGGATCGGCCCAGTTCAACAGTAGGATGTCAATTGAGGATGTCAACGGAGGATGTCAATTGAGGATGTCAACGGAGGATGTCAACGGATGATGTCAAAGGAGGATATCAAAGGAGGATATCAAAGGAGGATGTCAAAGGAGGATATCAATTGAGGATATCAATTGAGGATGTCAATTAAAGATATCAATTGAGGATATCAATTGAGGATGTCAACGGAGGATATCAACGGAGGATGTCAACGGAGGATGTCAACGGAGGATGTCAACGGAGGATGTCAACGGAGGATGTCAAAGGAGGATGTCAGAGGAGGACGTCTTCTTAGTGGACCATGCATAAAAGATACTTGCCAGGGAGACGAGGCTACCAACTTCCAAGAAAAAGGGTAAGCACCTGACCCGTCCACATCGATAACAGGATTATCCAAGACAAAGAGCAACATTACCTGCATTGGAAGCGATGTACTGGAAGACAAGGGCCATCGCGATCCTTTCACATTTGTCGTCTTACTATTTTGTAATACTTAACATGGTCTTCGCTACAACTTGTGTGTACGCATTCTTTTTGAGTGAGCTATTCGACATTCTTTTGCCAACTTTCTGGCAACAACCGTACCCTGTGGCTACTTCACAAAAGGATCTGTCATCCATGGTATGGAATCCATCATCCAGTGATGTGACCTTGCTATATGTAGCGAGTATTCGATTGTGCCATTTGCTGAGCTGGAGGCAATATTAGTATATCCATATTTACTAAGAGAATAGTTCTTGGTATAACTTGAAATCGCTATCAGATACTGAAGCAGTCAAGCACCTGAAGTGGGAGTGATAGTATATAGTTAAAATGCAAAGTTGTCTGTATTATTTCAGATCCAAGATCTATGTGCTTGTTCGAGCTTTCAGCCACAAGTATCAACTGCAAATAGTGATTTCAGATCCATTCATTAAAGTAAACTTGATGAACTCTGACTTTTCCAATAGTCTATGCATGTTTGCACTTAAGGATTGTGCGAGGCAATCTCAAAAGTAGCTCCCTCCCCACAATCCCCACCAGTCGCAAATCCACCACCACAAACATCCTGAACCGAAACTGAGATGCCCGTAAAGTTCTCATCAGAGTCCACCTTTCCAGGAAACTTGTTATCTCCAGCCTTGACTTCACAGCCGTTGATTCTTCCAAAGGCACTGGCAGCGCAGTTGAAAGAAAACTCTCCCTCCCAGCAAGACGAAGTGATCTTGAGCTCCATGTTGGGGTTGGCGCAGGGAGATGCGTTGCCGGGGTAGGACTCGCTGTAGAGCTCCTTGCCCGTGTTGTCGGTGATGGTCAGGCCGCTGGTGTGGCCGGTTTGGGTGCCGCCTGGGCCACCGGTTGCGAAGTCTCCGCGGGAGTAGATGAAGTTGAGGTTGTTGGCGGCAAGGGCGGGGCTAGCCATTGCAGCAGTGAGAAAGAGGGCTTTGAAGTACATGGTGTATTGATTCTAATTGCTTGAAGAGTTGTTAAATGAAGTTGTGTGTGAATGATTGTCGATATCGAGCCAGAAGGAAGCGACCTCAGCGCGATTTATAGTTTTTCCTTCCAACTGAGCAATTTCGATTCTAGGCCGTACCAAACCTTCGGGTATACCAAATTAAGCATGCCGAGACGTAGATTCCTTCCAAGTTATCATGATATCTAGGATTGAAATCCAACTTCAATACACCGCTCGAAAGAGATACTATAAGAAGTAATCGACCCGCTTCCTTTGATGCTGATCGCAAAACCGCCTGAAAGATCGGCACACTGCCCCAACATCCTTCCAGGCTGTCAAAATCGGTAGTTGTATATATTTCTAATAGTTAAATCCGATCGTCATTAAGGTCCCCTCCTTGTTATATTGGGAATGGATACTTCCCCGTACGGAGAATAATTGAGTCAGTGTGGAGATTGTATAATGTTTTGACATGACTTGTTTCTTTCTGAATGGGGCTGAATATACGAGCGTCCAGCGGCTCAATCGACGACGCTCTTGTGCCAAATATGGTATTGAGCGTGCACTCGACAGGACGCGCACTTCTCGTCTGAGTTAAGCTAGAAATCCATATCTAAGGTATAAAAGATACGCGATCCAGACTATTGAGGCTTGCAGCAATAGTTTGGACTACTATGCACGAAAGTGGTCAAACGACTCAATTGTGGCTGTGAGATGCATCGCTAGCAGCTCCTGGTAACGGTGTAGATTTTTGAAGTTATGCTTCATGTCTATAAAGAGGGCCATGAACTATGCAGATAGTTGATTCTCACTGACAATTGCTGAAATAAGAAGTATCTATTTTATAAGGAGTCATACTTATGTATTATCGAGGTTGTTAAATCCCTTTGCATCAGTGCTCTTGTACGCTAGTCCTTGTAACTAGGCTATTTAGGGACAGATTATTCCAGACTCCCCGCTATATTTAAAGTGGCTGGCTGGCTGGTGATCTAGACCTTTCTTTTAAGACAAGTGGCTCTATTTAGACCATCCTTAGTCTAGGTATTGAGAAGGGAGAATGCTTATCTTTATGTATATAATGGTTCTTATTTGCATTTACTTCTTTAGTTTTGAAACCGCAAACCTTGGTTCTAGAGTTTTGATTTGAATATTGCCTACCCTTCAATCCCAGCTCTCACCACCTGTTATATCCACTTAAATCATGGCGACTTCTCTGGTCTGGAACAGCCAAAATGGGGCCCTTGCCATCAATCGCGACAATTTGCGGGACTTCATCAACCAAAACCTGCAGAACTACCTTCCAAGCGTCTGCTTACAAGTAGAAGCCCGCTGCGAGCAAGAAGGGCTCAGCTGCAGCATGAGTTCCGACGTTCGTCCTGGCGGTCAACCCAATTTGAGCGAGGTGGCGGGCGAAACGGTATTATCCTACAGCTATAGTAACCAGAGCCACGATGGGGCGGGCATCAACGACAACTTGGGTTCGTTCACGCTTGGTACAACCTACAACATGGACATCCAGTTCACCAACACCAATGGCAGTGCCTCTATCGTCATTACCCAGCATTTAGTGATCAGCTATAGCATGGCAATGTTTCAGACCGCGACCAGCGGAAATGCAGTTGACAAAATCATTGTTGACACCTATACCCTCAGCGTTGACGAGGGTGGCATCCTAAGCGCAAGTGTGGATCCTATGATTACGGACAATTCAACTGCGCCTGACGATCGCTTTCAGGATTTCTTCACTGGTTCTGATGGGCTTATCGGAGAACTTCGAAGGGGTGGCGACGCTCTTCAGTCAACAGCGCCAAACGTTCCTCTGTCCAACACGGCAGCATACAGCTTCCCAGGAGGACAAACCTCTACTTTCAAGAGTGTCCAATTCTCAGACAATCAGGACCTAGTTGCTTCTGTAGAATAGGTCAATCCGTTGGCCGCTCTTTCAACTTTGTTCTTCCAGGCAGGGCAGACATTCTTCGACGTCGCTAGAAGGAGGGGATATGGAGAAACTGGAAAGCAGTACTGGAAAGCAGTACTTGTAGCTATTCTTGTACTTATGTCACAATTGGGCTTCATTTACCAGCTTTTTCAGTAATGTAGCTGATCAATATACCTGATAGATCCAATTGAAATACGTATTCCTATGACCGCTTATGCATGCTGAATCCTTCCAATATCAAGACCTCCACTACTTTCCACTGTGTGATCATTCTCTATTGTCGCCCCCGGATGACTTTCCTCAAGGGTCTCTTTTGACCACTTACTGAGAGTGCCAAGCATCAAACTGAGGTTCACTTTCCGGTATTTGGATCCTCCGCAGCTCCTAGTTGTCGTGCAGAAGAACACCTTGCTCTCGCAGATATCCAATCGTTTCCCTGGTCCATTCCTGGCATCGTCGCAGAGGCTTCTCAGGGTCGATTTTTTTTGAGTCCATCATACTGCTTTCCTGGGGGAGCATTTGCCTCACAGATTGTTTTAACACGAGGCAAATCATTGACTACAATCACTCCTACCTCTGTCCATGACTCGAAAGTTGCTTCGGACCTGGGACTTTGAGAGGTTTCCCTTATTTCGAGAGTAAATCCATTCATTGCATTCCCCGTGACGTTGAAGATGGTCCCCTCCTTTTTGTCGCTGTTTTGATAAAAATTGCATGGTGGTTTCGTGGGATACCCATGGATTCAACGAGATAGACTGAGTAATGTGACATTCTCAAGGAGAAAAAGTATAAGGAGAGTTATGAGGCTGGTAAAGAGAGTATAGAATATCAGTATTTATAATATCGCCAAACTTATAGGCAATTACTAGGCAGAAAAAAGGTCGTACCTTGAAAAGGAACGCCAGGCGCCGCTATGTTAACAGAATCCACGTTGGTTGCCTGGCTTCGTATGGTCGGATGTGGGGACAGCTAAAAATAGCTGTGTGAGCTCCAAAGAATTTTATATTTTAAGAAGCAAAGTACTATTTGCCGTACCTGGTTGGCGCCTGGGATACTATAAAATGATTGTTGTTTAAAGATAGATGGGACCATGGTGCCATGTTGCGATTAAGGGCCGTTGGCCAGTGAGTTTTGGAGATGGCTGGGGTATTCCGCAACGTTGGAAATTTGACGGGTTGTACTACAAAGGCGCCGAGCGTGGGGCGTGAAAGTGACTTTAGTGGTCTCTCGCTGATTGAAGAGTGGCTATCTGATCCCACGTACAAGTAAAGGGCTTTTGAGATGCAGTTTTACAGTAGAGGATAAATTGAGACATTGGTATCTGTGCAATACTTTTTATTTTACTTTACGAAGTAAATATAACTGACTGTCACTAAGCTCATTAATGGGAGTTTAGGGTAAGTCAGGTAGTGGCGACTTGAGCCAGGTGTAAAACACATATCAAACCTACCCATAGACCCCCAAAATTGCATGGTCTGGTCGCCAATATGCAGAATAGAAATGCTCGGTCTGATCAATCATCTTGGCAATAATTAAGACGATGCCGTTGTTTCCGCAGCTGTCACTGCCAAGCCAAGAGTGACGCCTTGACCAACGTCACAAGCGATCGAGCGTCCACAGGGCTAGAGTCCCTGTAATTTTGAATGCTTTGTGGCCAATCACTACAAGACCCTCTAAGCGAGGACACATTCTTCTTATCCCTAATTAGTCAATTTCACGCAGCAGCATGTTAGTGCTTGAGTATCTCGCCAAAAGCGGTGGGTATATCCACTTGCACCCTTGACTCGGGGATTTCCATCTGGGGAATGACTCCTCCTTGGCGAAAATCTCCTTTATGCATGAAGTCGCCCGATTGACGTTCAACAGCTGTGATATCTCATGGCGACATCAAGCCATGCAACAAATGTAGATGCAATTTCGACAACGAGAAGTCTAGTATAACGATTAGCAAAGATAAGCTCAATGGGCTTGCAGCCTCTTCCACCGATCGTGCGGTTTATCACGCCAAGATCTCACGGGAGGCAACCGGGCGAATTATGGATGCTGGCGCCTAAACCCGGAAATTACAGCTGACAGCGCTAGTCATTTCGAGATTTATCCGGCGACGAAGGATCGCATTTTAAAATCTCACGATGCCCATTCCCTTTGCCTCTGCAAACTTCTATTCACGTCCCTCGTTTCACCATATCGTCATTCGTTTACACCCAACTACTCCACCATGCATTTCTCTACTCTCGCCGCACTTGTCGCCATCTCTGGCTTCACCTCCGCAGAACCCAACGGCTGGTCCAAGACCAAAGAAGCAGACGACAGCCCCTCCAAGCTCGACGACTGCGGCTGCTGGCCTATCTACCAAGCCATCTTAAAGTGCCAAAAGCTCAAGTGGCCCAAGGAAGAAACACGGGACTGCGTGTGCATTCCCAACCCGGATGGTTGGTACGGTTCCATGGATGGCTGCCGTACTTGTCTGAGCTCCAACTCTGAGCACGAATTCTTCGATAATACCGCCAACCTGGTCACCCAGCTATTCGTTTCGTGCACCAACGCTGGCGGTGGCGTCACCAGCGATGGAAACAGTATCTGCGCCAGCAACGCGTACCGCGAGGCCTGTGTATCGCTGGGAACAAACGGAAAGCCTAGCTGGGCTAGTATTGAGCAGGAAGGAGTCAGTGGAAATGGGACTTATGTGCTGGATATCAAGGAATTCGGCGCAGATGATGATGAGTCCACGTCTACGACAAGTGCGAAGACAACTACCAAGACAAGCAGTGCTGAATCCAGTGGTAGCACCGAGAGTACGACTGTAGCCGTGGCTGCTACTACTGGGACCACGGAGACATCTTCAGGCAGCGCTACTTCGGATGCGACATCGGGAACTGAGACTCCTGTTGCATCGACTACCACAGCGCCAAACTCGGGCATGAGGCTTGCTGGTCACGGAGCTGTTGGCATGGGTCTGGTTGCGGTAGTTGGTGCCATGTTGCTTTAGTTTATACTGTGTAGTATCCAGATGCTAGAGTTGACTATGCTGTTAGTAATACCTTAATAATACGAGACTTTGCTTCCTACCAAAACCCTGATCCTTGAATAATAGTTGAAACTCCATGAGTTTATTGAGCCTTGAATGTCTTCTCAATGTCGCCCTGATTTCACTTACTTTGAGATGGAATGTCGAGCTTCAAGATCGAAAGATGAGAACAGATGAGGAGTATGAGTACCCGGATCTTGGGGCTGTTTTGGCATATGGTCTTTCCATCCCCATTGTTTCTTGAACTTGTAAACCGTTATAGAGTCAGATACATAACTTTAAACGGTAGAAGGCAAAGGGCCGTTCTCCTTATAACAGTCTGTGGTATCACGAAACCGAAGGTCTCAAACTCGATCCTGCAATTAAATACATGCAAGACAAATCTTCTGTTTCATCGGCTCGAGTCCAGAATTTCTCCTTGTAAAGTTACATCTCACATCCAATGATACCCATTCTCGGTGCCGGCATACCTTTGGATCATAGACACTTGGTAATTGAACGGCAAATGATGGCCAGTATTAGCGGTTGGAGTGGCTTGTCGACTACTGACTTGGGCGGGATAGGCAAACAGCCCAGCGTAACGGCCAGTCAGTTATGAAACATAGATTGCCATCCTGTGATCACCCAAGACTGCGAAATTGAGCTTTGATCAAGTCATCGCCGTTACTAAAATTAAAAAAAAAAATCTTCATCGTCCCCTTAAGTCGTTCCCCCGCACTTTCTGATCGACAGGGCTAAGATCGGGGCTCAACATCGCGGTTCCCGTCTCAGCCCAACGCGCGCCAACGGAGGCGATGGCTGCGCTTGCAATCCTCCACAGACAGTAACAGAGACCTTGTATCCGTACTCATTGATCCCAATCTAAATCATTCATCCCGATCCAGATTTGTTTCAACGATCCTTATTTCCCGTCCACGGCCTCTCGTAACAACTAATTGCAGCATCTTCAATCCAAGGAAAATAAAATACGACATTCATGGGTCAAACCAATTGGATGCGTCCCGCACGACCCCGGAAAAACATAAAACAGCCATGGTCCGATAAGAACAGGTCTCCCCGGGGCTCCCAGCCAATCTGGTGGGTTTAGTGTTTAAGGCTGACTTCGACAACGCTGTGCCGCTGCTAGCTTAGTGGTTCCATGCTTGTTCCATGGAAAACTTAAACGCCATTTTTGTAACCCAATGGGTCACGCTCAGCGGGGGGGATGGTGTTCCCAGCGCAATTCGAAGTCTTGGAACGAGGAGTTGGTTACATTATGGCTTGCCGTGACGACTTCTTCACTGTTGGTCCGTCTGCCGTCGCAGTGAAGAATCACTGCCGATTGTGCCGTGTCTCAGGTTTCGTGTCAATAATTCAACGGCATATTTCCCCAGGCCACGCTCTATTGGACTCAGCTCTCTGTGCCAACAGTCACTGCAAGCCATAATGTAACCAACTCCTCCTTTCCCCAGACTCAGCGCAAGTCTCAGCTATATGTAACACCCCGAACCTTATCGCATCTTTCATCCCAATGTAACAATTTCCCGAGTCACGACACTAACTCAAAAATACCAGTGGCGTCAGCGGATAGCGTCTAGGCCGGTCCTTTAGCATTGAATCTGCGACTTTTGGGTCGCAAGATCGGCTGCTTCACTGCTCAATGCGCTATGATCGCGGCCGGCGCTATGGCTTTGGGGTTGTGATCTTCATGCATTAAATTGAACCGTTAGTGGGTGTTGGGCACTGACTCGTATTGACGATCGAAGCTAACGGCGGTAGTTTCCAAGAACCCGGAGCCCCCCCTCCCCTTGGTTTTGCATATGATGGATACAATGCCCAAACCAGGGGAATATCTCTCAATTTTCGTATTGAACGTCTTTCTTACAAGTCATTATATCTTGGTCCCGCTCTTGGCGTTGCTTTCTTTGTTTCTTTCAGCAGTCATCATATCAAACTTTAGTACTCGTTCTTCATTACATTCCAGCCATGGCGGGCTTTTTGATCCCCCCGGGGTACAAGCCCGAGACTCCAAACGATTTGGAGATGAACATCGTCAGTCTCATCTTTGGCTTCAGCCTGGGCGCGTCAATGTTCACTGCTGGCATGGCCATCAAGCAGACGATGCAGGCGTACCAGAGAAAAAGGCTCTTCAGTGCATACATCGTCATGTGCTGGCTTGATTGGACTGGATGCAACTGCATGGGAATCATCACTTACTGCTGGCTGCGAGGCTACGCCCCCCCAAGGTCAGAACCCTCCTCTGTCCTCTTCTCCCGTTGCATACTGACTCATACCGCTCTCTAGCTTCTGGGTCTTTTTCTTTATCAGTACGTCACCTATCCCCAATCCCCAATCCCAGACTTATACTTACGTCTTCTGCAGTTGTTTTTTGGAGTATGCAGATCCAATTTACCCTCCAGATCATCATCAATCGAATATCCCTCCTCCTCGGTAACAAAACGAACATCAACAGAGTCAAGTGGGGAGTTGCAGTGATTGCAAGCTTGATCAACATCAGCGGCTTCTGCATCTGGGTACCGGCTCGCTTACAGATCTCTCACCTGTACGAAGAAATCAACATCGTCTGGGACCGAACCGAAAAGGCTGTCTTCTTGATCGTCGATCTAGCGCTCAATCTCTACTTTATATACCTGGTTCGGTCACGACTTATCGCTTGCGGATTGACGAAGTATACTGAGCTGTTCCACTTCAACGTCATTATGGTTATTATATCAGTGTCACTGGATTGCGTGCTCATGGGAGCTACTTTTCTACCCAGTCCTGTCGTGTCAGTATGCCCTCTACCTACGTTTTGCGCCATGTCTAACATCTATCAGCTATGTCCAGTTCCATCAACTCGTCTACCTCCTCAAACTGTACATCGAGATGAACGTCGCCTCTCTTCTCGGCCATATAGTCAAGAGCTCAAGAGAGCAGGACGCTAGGCCCTCCGAGGGAGGTAGACAGAGGGTTCGCGATGAGTTGGTTAGCGGTCGGATGACTACGTTTGTCACGGCGAGTCGTACAGGTCATGTGCGACTGGATGATATGTCGCGAGATGACTCGTACCGAAGGACCCCCGACTGGGAGAATGGCATAATGAAGAAGGTTGAGACTAAGGTCGTCTTTACAGAATCCCAGGACCAGGCGTCCACCTCAGATCAAGAGCGAATGGTATGAGTTTCTTATGTCGGAGCATACAAACATTTCATGATAAGCTAGCGTCTATATTCACTACTATGTAACAATTATATAATGAGTAATGTAAAACATTTGCCCCGCAGGACAAGCAAGTGGTTGTACTAGCATTGGTGCCCAGCGCATGCCCTCAGCAGAAAGATCACTAACCTCAGAACACAAGCAGCAAACCCAGGGATTCTCACCATGAGCAAAGTCTTGATATGACTCCTAAGGGGCCTTATCATGGATGTCATGGGCTCCCAACAACTGTTGCAAGATAAGCCAAGACTATAGCGCTTACGGTTCCACGTCACCAACCTATCTACAGCTACTGTGCCTCATTCAGTAGTCAATCACAACGCCTCAATTGATCTGACGTAAGAGTGTCTCTCGCACTCGCTTCATCCTGTTACCTATCCGCCGATCCGGACTTTATACGGACACAATAAGCTTATTCAGACATCCTCCAGAAACGGAATATATATCAGGATGATGTCTGGACATTTTCCCCTTTTCAATGATCTCCAAAAAGATCACCTTAAAGTCCTAAACTATCATGAGCAAATCTACGCGACCTAGCAGCTTTCCAGGCTTTAGTCCCTTATCAGATAGAGTATTCGTTCGTCCCGGTGAGACGCCGACAGGCACTGATCCAAACCCTGAACATCCCCGCACTGTCGTCATCTACGGCTGGGGTGACGCCCCTCCAAGACACATCTCAAAGTTCACCGATGTCTATCGACAGTTATACCCCCATGCCAAACAAGTCGCTGTCCTGTCGCCTATCTACCAAGGCTTCATCGATAATGTGACTAAACGCACAACGGCCATGCTTCCGGTTATACATGAGGTGTTTCCCAACGATGCATCAGACGGCTTAGTCTTGTTCCACGCCATGTCCAATTCTGGAACTCTCAACTACTCAGCTACCTTGAATGCCTACAAGGAGACCTACAATCAGCCGATGCCCCATACACTGACGGTCTATGACTCTACACCTGGATCGCCTTATCTCACGTGGGATAATCTCAAGCGATTTTCTCATGCCATGGCCATCGGTTTAGCAGCGAAGCTCCACTTACCATTTATTGTGACACAAGTGCTTTGCGCCATGTTCTTCGTTCTGATTCATGTATTCGATTATCTTGCGGGAAGAGAATCTGCGCCCAAGTTTAGTCACCGAATCTTCACCAATGAGCAATGGGAAAGCAAGAAGAGCACACGACTATTCTTGTACGGAAAGGGGGATATTCTCATTCCGTGGCAGCATATTGAAGGATATATGGCTGTGTCACGAGAAGCTGGATACCCTAGCGAGGGGCAGGTCTTTGAAAGTGGACATGTTGGGCATATGAAGAAGGACCCGGAGAAATATTGGGGGACCATTCAAAATTCTTGGGAGAGGGCTATAGGTAACTATAAGAGGCACTGACGATGAGGAGAGGACCAACCTGTTGGGCGTGGGCAAGTGCATAGCTTGGTGATGTACTACAGATATAAATATGTATAATCGAGATATAAGACTGATGGACAAAAAGAAGCACGAAGCACAATGGGCATGAAGAGGAGATGAATTAATAAACATAGCCAATATACTGACTATATCCCGCCCGCTTTCAACCGAAAATATTGCCTGAGAGGTTAGCTATAATGCTTACCAAGAACGCCGTTTCACTTACAGTCTCAAAACGAAAAGCATTGGTAAAGGGACTCTGCATCTCGACCTGAGCGCTCGTCGACTCTGGGAAGTGCCATAAGCTTCCATCTCCTCCAAGAGAATTCCCAACGAAGGATCCCACCTAAAAAATTTCTCGACCAGAGCCATTGTCTTAACTGGCGCTGCAAAGTCGCACCAGAAGCCTTCACTCGTCCGACACATGATCACAACACGATCTATCAACCAGTCAGTATCTTTGAAACTCAACACGACAGTGCAATCACATCTCAACGGCGCTTTAAGCGTTTTACTCTGTCCAAGAACAACCATCTCTTTTCTATGGCTTAACAAGTCATAGGACTTTGGAGCTGCTTTCGTAAAGTCAATGCCCTGCCATGAACCACTCCAATTCGAAGAGCTGTAGAGCTTATGATGAGGTTCGCAGATAAGCATGACCTGATTCGCCTTGGCGAGTTCTCGGAGAGTGCTAACTCCAGCTTTGATATCCGGTTCCTCTAGTGCTTTGTTGACGGCTATTCGGTTCTGAAGTGCAATCTCGTCCAGCTCTGTTGATGGCTTGATAGCGAAGTTGGCTGTTGCGTAGTGCACTGCGTTGTGAACAAACCCTTCGCCTTTCTCGCTTTGAAGTTCGGGGATGCGATCTCGTACTAATTTGTTAGCTGGTGTGGTGAATGATTGAATGGACTTACAGTTGATGGTTGAGGAAAGGGAAATATCGTACTTGGTTTCGCAGTTGATCCTGGCAAGCTATTTGGCGTCTTTAGCAGGGCAAGATCGTTTTTAGGTAGATGATAGCCTACCTTTGTGAAGATGGCAGTAATGATATCACCGTTGCTGATCTCACTCGCCAAAACATGCTTACCCGCCGAACGCTCTCTCGCCTTGTCTCTCAAATTTTGCACCACCTTTATTGGTAGAAAAACGAGTCTAGACTCCTCTCTCCTGTCTTTAATCAAGTCGAGAGCAATTCTTCCAATCACCAACGCCTGATCCTTGATGCTGCGTATGCGCATCCGTCCGATCCGATCACCCGGGCCGGCTTCAATGTTGGAGAGCTTTTCACTGCCTAGCACATCATCCTTGTACCCGGTCATTTCTGGCGGCGTTTTCCCATCGATGACAGCAAGCCATGCCTTGATGATATTGGCCAAGCCGCCCTGGTCAGCAAAGACATGCGGTACACTTATCGCGAGAGCTGCTCCATCCGAAAACTTGGTTAAGTGAACATACAACAATGGCGAATTAGGCGGCTCGTCTTTTCGTTCATATGGCCAATCCTTTGGTCTCAACCGCGCGTCAATCGTCTCCATATCTGGTAAAAAGGCTACACAATCGCCCGGATGTAGAACTTTCGACAGTTCATATGTCTCGCCGTAGGAATAGCCTGCGCTGACGGATGACCATTTGAAGAGCTCGTAGTCATCTGGAAAGACATGCGGTAAATGATACTCCAGGCGTGTATCGCCGCGAGATGGGAAGATACGCGCCCCAAGCTTCCGCCAATGATTTCTGATCAGCTTATCTAGACCTGTTTTCAGGACCTGCTCGTCGAGAGGATTGTCTGTTATGAAGAATGTTCGGGTGCGGAGATTGGGGATCGGGTTGGGCTGGTCGCTCCATGAAACGGGCATTATCTCCATTTTGATCAGCAAAGTCACACAAATTGCTCAATAGTAGGAAAAGAAGTTGAAGTAATTGAAGATGGATCCGCGACACAAGATTAATCGATCTGTGCTGGAAGAGCAAACGGATTTCCGTGTCTTGTCAGCTCTAGTCCGCATCAAGTTACTCTCCACGTCTCACTGCCTTCAAAGCTCTGGAGAATGTCACCTCTCATTCCCTGAGCACTGTCAGGATACTAACAAATTCCCATCATTATTGGTCCAGGAGTAGCAGGCTGGTGCAAGTAAATAATAAAGAATCCTTTGGTCTGACAATTGACACCACCTTGCTCACTAGGTCAACAGATGTCATGCATCGCCAGTCAGAGACCAAATTTAAGGAATTAAACAAGTCCATCGACTGTGATAGTACCCGTCTTGGAGATCATGTACTCGCTCACAGCCACGTCCTTCCCAGCTTCCTTTCCATAACCTGACATTTTGATCCCTCCGAACGGTGACTCGGCTGCAGAAGAATTGCCTAGTATCTCGTCAGTACACATCGTCAAGACCCAAGTAGAATACTCACCTGTGTTGAGTGCAATCATTCCAGCCTCTAGATTCTCAAGCATTCGCCAGATACGATCCGCATTCTTTGTAAACGCATAGCTAGCAAGACCCATTGGTGTATCATTAGCAGCTTGAATAGCCTCCTCTTCCGTCTCGAACTTATAAAAAGCTGCAATTGGCGCGAAACACTCTTCGCATGAGATCAAAGTGTTATGCGACATATCAGCGAGAATCGTCGGCTCAAAGAAGTATCCGCCCTCGCCTCCCTTGGGAGAAACGCGATTACCTCCAGTGACGATTCGAGCGCCTTTCGAAACAGCATCTTTAATAAGTCCCTCAGCTCGAACCAAACTCTCAGGCTTCGTAACGGGCCCAAGGGTAGTCCCTTTAGCAGCGCCGTGGCCGATGACATACTTGGCAGTCTCTTCAACGAAGCGCTGGAGGAACTTGTCGTATACCCCAGACTGCACAAGGAAGCGATTGACTGTGACGCAAGCTTGTCCTGCGTGACGCCATTTGAGCCCGACAAGTTCTCGTAAAGCAGCTTCGATGTCTGCGTCATCAAAGATGAGACAAGGGCAATTGCCGCCTAGCTCCAGAACCACTTTCTTGAGACCGGAACTGCAGTGGTTCGCAACCAGGGTCCCAACTCGCGTTGATCCTGTAAAGGTAACCTTTTTAACCAGCTCGTGCTTGCAAAGAGCTTCACTTAGCGATGGCGTGTTTTCCAAACTCGTCGGTAAGACATTCAAAACACCATCCGGGAATCCAGCCTCGGTGGCCAACTTAGCTAAAGCCATGGCTGTCACCGGCGTTTCGGGCGATGGCTTGACTACCATCGTGCAACCAGCCGCCAAAGCAGCCGCAGCTTTTCTGAGAACCATAGCGACGGGAAAATTCCACGGCACTAAGGCGACAGCGACACCGAGTGGCTGTTTGATAGTGACTACTCGCCTGTCAGGTGCAGACGGCGCAAAGCACGTTCCTTGGATCCGCTCTGCCTCGCCCGCAAACCATGACACAAAGGTCAAAGAGTAGTCCATCTCCCCGATTGCCTCGATGTACGGTTTTCCCGTCTCATAAACCAAGAGCGTGGCTAGATCGGCTTTATGCTCGCGAATAAGACTGTCCCATCTAAGAAGCCACTGGGCACGTGTCCGGGGTGAGGTTTTCTTGAAGGATTGGAATGCCTTGTGTGCGACGCGAACAGTTGCATCGACGTCATCGGGTGAATTATCGGTGATCTTTGTCCATGGCTTATTGGTGCCAGGATCTAGACGCTGTGTCAGACCGGTGAGATGTTGTGATATGGAGGGGGCTTACCGAGTACGTCGAAGGTTGAACCGGAGAGGGCGGGTTTGGTTTGGCCTTGGATGTAAGAATCGGTGATGAGGAGATCAGGACGATTAAGCTTCAGATAGTTAGTAGAGATCACTTATTACATTTATCAGATGCGTACTTTGAACGGTAACGGGTAAGCCATCTTGTTCTAAGCTTGGTAGGCATTCAACAACAAGAGCGTCTGGATGTTGCGATGTAGATGAGTCAAATGACCTGAGTAAGCGTTCTCTTTGTCTTCACAAATTTAAAACAAGACTTTAGTGAAATGGGACAAGTTCGATAAGAGCTGTTGGTTGCTCTCATCATATGCTTTACCGTCAGGGTATGCACGTAAGAACTCGGTTAGTAATGATCATAGCAAGATTCCCCGCTTCTCGACCACCAACACAATCAGCGAGTCGGGTCATCGCTACAGATGCCTAGAGTTCAAGCCACCTGCCGTACAAGGTTAAGATCTGCGCTCTTCTTTTGGTTGCCCTTTGTGGTAGGGAATCAATTCTCATGAACGACGAACGTGAGGGGCAAGTCTATATATCACGTCGCTTCAGTCATCTCTCAGTGTCAAGACAGGTTCCAAAGCATTAAACTGTAATCATGGGTCGCTTAGATGGTAAAGTCGCTATCGTTACAGGTATGTACCCCTCATCGCATCTGCGGCCACTGCTGAGATAAAACGAGGCGCCGCGTCTGGATTTGGCCAAGGTATCGCTGAGCACTTCGCTGAAGAGGGCGCTCAAGTCCTCATCTGCGACATCAACGAAGCAGCAGGCCAAAAAGTAGCTGCGACGTCCGAATCTTTCGAGTTTCAGAGTATGAACGTCACTAAAGCAGCGGATTGGCAAAGCGCTGTCGATAAAGCCGTCCAGCTTTGGGGGCATCTCGACATTCTAGTCAATAACGCCGGTACCAGCTACGAGAACAAGGTAAGTAATTGGGATCAATTGACGGTTGGTGAAATTGACCGCGGCAGAGCACAAACCTGGTCACGGAGGAGGAATTCGACAAGGTCATGAGCGTCAACGTCAAGAGCGTCTTCCTCGGCAGCAACGCCTTCACAGCCCAGGTCAAAAAGCAAGGCTCAAAAGGCTCAATGATCAACATCGCCTCCGTAGGCGCTCATCGACCTCGACCCGGGCTAGTATGGTACAACGCATCCAAAGGAGCAATCACAAACGTAAGTCATCGGCCCATATCATGCAAAGCTAACGCCAAGGTACAGGCGACTATGGGTCTTGCGGCGGAATATGGCCCGGATGGAATACGCGTCAACTCCATTTGTCCCTTGGCGACTATGACAGGTCTACTTCCTACGTTTATCGGGAAGGAGATTACGCCAGAGGTTCAGAAGGCGTTGGGGAATGTTCCGCTTGGGAGGATGGGGGAGATTAGGGATGTAACTAAAGCAGCGGTGTTTTTGGCGAGTGAGGAGGCTTCGTTTATTACGGGTGTTAACCTTGATGTTGATGGAGGGAGGGCAATCTAGATAGCCATGTCAAGTGAGAGAACAATGCAGTGAAACACAAGAAGCAATTGGCCGGCACATCCCGTCCTTGAGCGGGAATGAGACAAGAGACACTTAAGATCCTGGAGCCCCCTATGCGGCTTGTCTATCAATGAACCAGGGTCTGATTCCTTTGGGTGTTGGTGAACATGTGAATGCTCGGCATTAGTGCTGTAACCCCAGCGCTCGTCACATTTGCCGCGTTTGGCTCCGAAAATTGGGCGGGGAACAGAAGCCGGTGAACCGCTCAGCTTTTCTGAAGTGATAAGACTCAGTGTTGACATTTTCGGGTTGACGATGCGGTGCTGGGAATCCCAGAGGAACGGAAAGGGTTGCGGAATTGTTGCTTGGCATGAGAGCCTCATTGAAGCACATTTCGGCTTATGCATGTACTTAATTGCAGTGATGAATATCTCTGTGCATAACTCTTAAACATGTGATAATGACCTGTCGGGCCATCAATGCTATCTCAATGCTATCCGTCCCTCACAATATCTCAGATCCTATATCATGTGACAGACGCTCGCCAGCTTACTGCTTGGTCGCGATTCACTGGCTACTATTACTAGAAGGGATCTCATTTGCAGCGTTGGCTGGCGCCTTGTTATCACCATGGATCTCGCCCATCAACTGCCTATCAATCGCCGCGCGCTCTTCATCTGTCGCATCCGTGATATGGACAGCGACTTCATCCCCAAACTGCTTACCAATCTCTTCCAAAGAAAGTCTAGCAGTCTCGGGCCAGAAGAAGTAAATGGCGGGGATGAAGAGAACACTCCAGCAGATGACCAGGAGGAAGTATTTCCAGCCGACAGCATTAAACCCGATGGGCGCTGTCTGAAGAAGGATGATGGTGGCTAGAGGTGTCAGTATGTTGCTGATGGAGTAAGATGAGGTTACATACCAGCAAATTGTCCAAAGAGTGACCATCCAATGCCGATGGATCGGATCTCAGTAGGAAAGATCTCCGAGACATAAAGATACATGGTTGTGTTGCAGAAGGTTCCTTGGAAGGCGAGATACAAGAACATGAACAGCACACCGATAGCATTACCTGCCTTGTTGTCCGTACCGGCGTACAATGATATCATCGCGCAGTAGATCGATGTGGTGATAACGATGCCAATGAAGCCAGTCATGTACATCTTGCGACGCGAGTTGACCTTGTCATGTAGCCAAGCACCGCCAGGGTTGTAGATCAATCCGGCGGTAGTCAACCAGAGAGCCGATAATAGAAGCGGCATGTATCCAGTCTGGCCTAGACTAGTATACAGGATGACTGCGTAGTTGTTCTTGCTCTTGTTAGTTGTGATATTTACTGGAGGGAATGGTACTTACAATGATGAGGGGACCTCCAAACTCGGCACCCCATTGCGTCATGAATCCAATGAGCATACGCTTGCGATAGCTCTTCTTCTGGACCACAGCCCTCCATGGGTTTCCCCCGTAAGCCTCAAGCTTCTTTGCATCAAGCTCGAGCTGCTTCTCAATCTGATAGTATTCTTCCTTGGCAACCAGATCTTCAGGATCATTGGCCGACCTACGAAGACGAACCAGAACAGACCACGCCTCTTCACGATGGCCCTTGGACATGAGCCATCGTGGTGAGCGAGGGATCCAGGGTGAGCCAAGAAGCAAGACCAGCGGAGGGAAGACTTGAAAGGCTAATGGGAAGCGCCAACCAAACTCAAGATTCTTGGAGAAGTAGACTGCAAAGCCAATCCACGAGGACAGCATGTAGCCAAAGACGAGAAAAATGGCGTGATGGCCTACGAGCCAGCCACGTGCGAGAGGACTGGACATCTCGGAGAGATACATCGGTGTCACGGTAGCCATGAGACCAACGCACATTCCCATGATCCATCGTCCAGCCTGGAACATACTACAGCACCATCAGTATTGACTTGCGCCAAATTTCAGTACCGCGGGTACTCACGCAAGGTTCTGCGCAGCGCACTGAAGAATACCACCAAGAATCCCCAAAGCACAGCCAAACTGAATACTCCTCAATCTCCCATAGTAATCACAAGCCCACATGAGCACCAGACACGCAAACGCACCGCCAGCAGAAAAGAGTCCATTGGCCGTCGCAATCGCCGGTGTCGTTATAGTATCGTAGCCGGGCTGCCCATCAGCAGGAAGATTAAAGAACTGGTACCAGCCCGGTTGGCCGATTGTGCTCCCGATGATGGACGCTGCATACCCGTACGTCTGCGTGTCAATGTATGTAAGTATGTCGCACTGGTAATTAAACGTTAATACGAGGTGGTCAAAACTTACGGTCCCGCCGATTGCGACAAAAGTAATTACGAGCTTGTTGTACAAGCTCGTCTGGTTCCCAGTCTGCGGCATTCTTGCGACGTGTACCAATTCGACAGAATACGGGAGCGAAAAAAGAAAAAAGAAATTAGAAGGAAAAGGAAAAGTCAATTAAGCAGAGAAGAGAGAGAAGAACTGTGATCGGCGTGGTCTTTTGACAGTCACATTCCTAGTGCAACCCAGCCCATGCAGATCACCGGGAGATGGAAGAGGCGTGCCGGTTTCGACTGGCATGTCGCTTACAGGGATTGACAGCGTGGTTTACCTGTTGTGACAGGTCTGCATATTATTACCCACTTGGATGTAACAGAGAAACATGCAGTTGCAACACCAAGCAATCCATTAACCGACCCTTGTCTCAAAAACCTCGGAGCATGGCAGCATTTGTGGAACATGCAGCTCCTTAGTATGAGGGGTACACCATCGCCATGCTATAAACAAGCTTCTCTACTGCATACTTTCCGCATCAACCACTCTACATCTTTCAAAATGGACCCCTCATTCATGGAAAAGCAATGGGATGAACTCTCCGATCCCAAACGCGTCTGGATAGGCCAACCGGGCAGCCGAGAAGAGGGCCTAGGCCGTCTCGTCCTCCTGACGCCAGAGCGGGTGGCTTCAGCCGCACAGACACAGATCGAGACTGGGATCCGCGTCAATCTCGGTTGGGATCTGAATAAGCTTGAGTTTGCGTGCTTTAATCGGCAGCCGTGCGAGCTTAAGATGGTGCCGCTGTTGGATGGCGTTGCTTTTGATGATATTTACGTTATGAATCCACGTTAGTATTTTTCCTGGATTTTAGTGGTAGTGTTGACTTTTAGTAGAGCAGAGTAGCCAGTGGGATGGGCTGAGACACTTTTCTATGCCGAAGGAGGAGGGGAGTAAAGAGAGGGTATTTTATGGGGGGACGACGAAGGAGGAGATTTTGGATAGGACTAACGATCGTATCGGTATTCATCATTGGGCTCAAGAGGGAATAACAGGTCAGCCAGAGTCTCCAAAGTTCGTTCCCTGTCTGATACTGTATTGCAGGTCGCGGAGTTCTTATCGACTACGCGTCATGGGCTGAAAAGAACGGCATCACCTACTCAACCTTCTCTCTACACACCATCAAACTCAGCGACATCCACCAGATCGCCAAAGAATGCAACATCACCTTCCAACGTGGCGACATTCTTCTCGTCAGAATCGGCGTCATCAAAGAATGGGAGCATGCTATGGATGTCGATGCCAAGAAGGCATATGCTGCTTCAACAAGTCCTCAACATGCAGGCGTTGAAGGAACAATGGATGTGCTCAAGTGGATATGGAACATGGGCTTTGCAGCTGTGGCGGGCGATGCCATCAGCTGGGAGGTAAGTTTGCATGAGCAGTTTCATGTCAGGGACTGATGGATGGATGCAGGTATACCCGCCAAGTGAGGGGGGTGTTTTGATGCATGAGTATATGTTGGCTGGATGGGGGATGCCGATTGGTAAGTTACTTGTGTGCAGAGGTTCGAGGGCTAATAAGTGCAGGTGAATTGTTTGATCTAGAGAGGTTGGCAGAGACATGTAAACAACTGAACCGTTGGACATTCTTCATGTCATCTACGCCGTTCAACATGAAAGGCGGTATTTCCTCGCCACCCAATGCACAAGCAATCTTCTAGGAAATTTCTCTACCTTCACATGTCATACCGTACCGCTAAATGATAGCTCATTACACTCTCAAACAGAGGAATAGAATCGTATCATTATCGTTGCTTTTTCTTCCTTCCCTGAAAGCTTTCTGTACGCGACAGCCACTCAATCAGTAATTACATGTGAATACAAGGATTCCTTACCAAATTCTCTCGTAACCGAGAAAAGAGAAGACGGCCCGGGGAATTAAACCGGCGGGAGGGTTTAAACGGTGATCGGCAATAAATGGGCCGAGTACGGAAGCGATGTAACGACGGGACGACCAACATGCATATGATATGGCGATCTTTTCTATCTTGAGAGCTTGCTATGTGCCGAGGTGGTCTAATTTCGGTAGCTTTTCTGGAATACATTCACAACTTTATGCAGCATCTTGTCTCTTCCCTCTAGATGATTGGCAGCAAAAATGCAACACCGCTTGCCAAAGGGACCTTGTCTCACAATGAAACCCCCCACTGAATGCTGAAGATTAATGTCTGATGTTATGATCGTGGCAAACCAATCGTATCCTCCTCACAGGCCTTCGAATCCGATATCCATGTCTCCCGGAGGAAATCTGGCCCTGTTGTTTTAAGTTGGGCATGTATTGATCTCGGTAGCAGGCGAGGAACTTTCTCTTAAGACCTTATACATGCGACGGGAACAATGGGCCATTCTCAGGGGTTCTGCGCATACCAGCCCATCACCCGACCGAGTCCATGTGAAATCAGTGATTGATCATATTATCTGTAACTATAACATTCATTGCCTCAAGATCCTAGGTCTGAGAAATTTGACTGGTCCCACTGCCAGCTGCGGATGATCACTGAACGGAGGATTCGCCGCCATGTCGTAGCTCCTATTACCTGCATCTGACGTCTACAGTGGGTACATATGGCCCTGAAATGCTGTGTCTACTCCGTACCCTCTGTTGTTTTTGAGTTTCTCTCTTGGTTCTGCGACTCGACGATACCGGACGCATACCGACGCATCTAAGCTTTTGCACTCAACTAATAGCCAACATGACCAAACCAGCGATGGAACCGCCTCCGGGCAAGGAGTCCAACTTTGACAATCCCGACCGGGAGCTGTACTACATATGCATTGCTTCTAACGCAATTGCAATGTCTGTGTGTTCGATATTCGTCTTTTTACGTCTATGGGCCCGTTACAGGCTGGCGATGAGGCTTCGGCTAGACGACAGTATGTTCGCATTCACTACAACACCGAGTTCCGAGCTAACGTGAGAATCTAGTTGCTTGTGTCATTGGATATGTATGTTATTCTCTCAGTGTAATCTAGTCTTGCGTCAACTTCTAAGCCTTGGTCAGATCGGCTTTATGGGATACTGCACCATGTGTCTGCTGAGTAAGTACTTATCACCCGTACTCGAACACTTGAAGCTAACGACTACAGTGCTGAGATACGGCGGTGGCCTTCACCAATGGGATGTCCCAGATCATCTCATAACGCAGTATAACCAGGTCCGTCTCTTCCTTTTACCCTAACCCGACCTGGGCTAAATCTGCCGCAGACGGTCTACGCGACCATGGTCAACTACGGCCCAACAGTCTTTGCCATCAAAGCAGCTATTCTTCTCTTCCTCGCCAGCATCTTCGCCCCTTACAAGACCTACGTCAAATGGATATACGGCTTCCTAGGGGTAATGGGCGTCTACTACGTCGCGATGTTTTTCCTCAAGATGTTCATCTGTCGCCCGATCTCAATGTTCTGGGGCGCCACAACTGATGGCGAATGCTTCAATCAGCGAGTTCTCATTCTTGTCGACAACATCATCAGTCTTCTCAGCGATATCGTAGTTCTTCTTCTACCCTGTCCTCTCACCAAGAAACTCCAAGTCGGCCTCATTGCAAAGCTCAAGATCGTCGCTATCTTTGGTGTTGGAGGTATCGCCTGTATCTTTAGCCTTGTTCGGCTAGTCTTTATCATCCATAATGGGGAGAGCCCTGATCAGACCTATGTCTTTCTGCAAATCAACTTGACTGGGTGAGTCACGTCAAGTCATACTTATGGATGCCGCTAACTAGAACTAGAATCGCCGAGTGTGGAATTGGAGTTGTTTGCGCATGCTTCCCATTCATGCCGATGTTGTGGAAATCCATTCTCCACAAAGACAAGCCAGGCTATTCATCTAATTACTCGAGGTCGCAGTTTGAGATGATGAGTTCGTCGAAACAGCGATCGCGCAATACAGGGCATACACCAGAGAGCGTGCGCTATAACGAGGATATGGGGAGTGATGAGAATATTCTCATACCGAATGGCAAGTCGTACGTTACCACTAACGTTCGTGCGGGTGACAGCACCGCTGAGGGAAATACCGGTAGCATTGGTGATGGGAACGGGGGACACGGAGCAAGCCTTGATGACTCGCATATTCTTCGAACGGTTGAGGTACGTCAGTATGAGGAGCGTTAATAGTACGTATGCTACTTCACTCAATCGAATCTACATTACCGAAGCCCGGCAAGTCCATGCAAATAAGGAAGACAACGGGGTCACAGTTGACATGCAGTGGAGAAGATGAGGCGCCAATATATATTCATTACTCGTAACGATGAATCATAAGGATAAGACAACTCAAGCTCCTTTCCAAAACGCTTCCCAGTCCAGATACCAGTCCATCACTCCAGTCCATGATCGCAAATGCCTTTATATCACACTTAGTACTTGTATCGCCAGCCACGCTCGACACCAGAGTTGGGAGTCCATCCCTCCTGCTCGTCAAGCTTCTTGTTAAGCTTCTGAGCCCTCCATCGGACAAGGAAGGCTGAGAGAACAGTCAAAGCACAGCCGAGAAGGAGAAGGCCACCAGCCATGCGGTAGAAGGGCTCCTGGCTTCGAGGGTAGAAATAAGGGCTGAACCAATGGCTGACCTGGCTGATACAGTTGGCGATGGCGATAAGAGCGGCCTTCTTGGCACGAGGAGCGGGAACGACGGTAGTTTCCCATGAAAGCTGCAAGTTGAGACCGTTGTAGGTACCGCACACAAGGAGGATGATACCGACATATCGAGCTGCGACGTTGATGGTGCCAATGAGGATACCGCAACCGGCAGCGGAAAGGATGATAGGGATGACGACGTGGTATGTTGATTCCATGAAGTGGCCGCAAGACCAGGCGATGATACAGGCTGAGATGTAGGCGAGGGCATAGGGAGGAGCCTGAATAAGGTAGGTGGTCATCTTGTTGAAGCCAAAGGTGTTCATGATCTGAAAATGTTAGTAATGCATATAAATAGTGGCTTGGGTGTACTTACAGAAGGCAGGAAATCCTTGAAGCTCTGGGCAGTGACGAGGGCAAAGTGCATGAGGCAGAAGTACCAGGTGAAGGGATCCTTGACGGCATCACGGACACCATCCCAAGTGCCACCAACCTTCTCATCAATACCACCGTTGGAGACCAGAATTCGGTACTGGGCCATCTCGCGCTCCTGCTCGTCAAGGAACTTGGTGTCGTTGGGCCAAGAGGGGAGAACGAAGAAAGAGATGACAGCAACGATGATGGAGACGATACCCTCAATGAGGAAGAACCATTGCCAAGCGTGCATACCAGCAATTCCATCCATATGCTCGAGAATACCCGCAGCCAAGAAACCAGAGATGATGTTGGAGATAGTGTTACCAGCATGCCAGATAGCCATGCGGAAGGGCGATTCCTCTTTGGTGTACCAAGATGAAGTCATGAGCGTCAGACCAGGAAAGAACGGAGCCTCCATCAAACCAATGAAGAAGCGAACGACACAGAATCCAACGCCATTGGTCATGGCGGGCATGCAGATTGTGCCCGCACTCCACATGAGCATGATGGTAGGCAGGAAGAACTTGGGGTTCGTCTTGGCCATGAGGAGGTTGCCGGGCAATTGGCCAATGAGGTATCCGACGTAGAAGGTCGAGATACCCGCGTTCCAGACGGTGTCAGTCATGCCAAGATCTTCCTGCAGACCAGCGAGTCGAGCGTTGGAGACGTTGATGCGATCGAGGTAGCTAAGCTCACCGTTAGTCTTGGCTGTTCCCCTGGACGCTTGGCTATCGCTGACTTACTTCATCAAGAACATGAGGGTGACACAAGGCATCATATGCCAATCAACCTTGCTGCGAACCTTCTTGTTCAGCGCATCCATCTGCGTCTGCGAGAGATCGCGCAGGAGCGGAAAGCGAGCTTGGATCTCAATGGGGGGAATGTGTCCGACAGGCGAAGAGATGGCGTTCTCGACAGCCGCGACCTCTGCCTTCTCATCGAAGCGTTCCTCATTGTGAGAGGCGGTCTCGTTATTCTGCGAAACAGTCATGCTGGGCGATCTCTTTGTTTCCAAGACTGAGTGGGTAGCTGGGTGGAACTGGACTGGAGAACCAAGAAGTGATGATGAGTCTGGGCAAAGGGAAAATCTGGGGTAGGATCTCCCAAGACTTTTATACACAGCTTGGCAGGATTCTTGTCATGTTGTTTGCTCAATCTGAGAGTGAGAAGCGAGCAAGTTTGGGTGAATGGCGAGTCAGCCGCAGTGCGGAACTGGGAAAATTCATCGCCCCCCCTTGGTAGCGTTATCCCCATTAAGGTTACGCATAACCTTAACTTAGTCTTGGCAAGACGCGGAGAACCCCAGTAACTACGGTCTCGAATCTGCTTTGCGGGGGGACAGCAGAGGATGTCATTTGTTCCCGCGGGAATTGATTCTGCCAAGGCCTTCCCGGTGACTCTTCTCCCCCACGGGGGAATGGAGAGAGATGTCTCTCGGCTAAGGGTTCGGCTGGGCTGAAGTTGGGGAAGGCCGATGCTGCTGAACCCTGGGCGTTGCAGTCAAGTGACTCCAGTTTCCCACGGACCAAGTTTTCGGTGGGCGAAGAGTGCGGGGAAGTCCGAGTGTTGGGATAGATGGTCTGGGGTAGATACGGTCTGGCATGACATGTTTGTGACGATCGCCGTTGAGGACCCAGAAATGCCTCGGTGAGATCGGCATGAGTTTACGGTTATGTTTAAGCTTGTACTATGGATCTGATGAGCATAGATTACGTTTTACGATAAGATACGAAGAATGATTACAGAGTGAAGTCGTATCAGCTTGGTTCATTTCATCGCTGTACCGGTATGATCAAGTCAAAAGTCACACTGACAGAAAAAATGCACAGAAAATGTAGAAAAATAATGACATAAAATGGATATAGAAAATTGGAATTCGTCTATGAATGATACATGAAATCGTTTTGATGCCATAAGCTGATACTCCGACCCAAACTTCCTGTAAACAAGACCAAAACACGAAACACTCCCAAAAAGCACTCTACTTCTTCATCCCCATCAACAAGCCCGCAATATTCTCATACGCCGTGAAAACAATACCACCACTAAGAATCAACCGTCCCAAGCGCATAGTGCTTCCACTCCAAAACGCCCTCACGCCTCCATCACGCAGGACCTGCTGAACAGCCTCGCCCATACCAATACCCTTGGCAGACTGCGATCTCGTCTTGATGGTATCAAACGGCTGTGTAGCGTAGACAGTGATGACACCGGCAATAGCGCCGATGCCGAATGTCATGAAGGGGTTCTTGCCGTCGGACTTGAACGTGTCTTTTAGGATGTTGTAGGAACCCATTCGGACTCCGGATGTGGCTGATTGCTTGAGGGTGGTGGACATGAGACCGCGGTAGATTTCACGGACACCGCGCTCGACTGCGATTGTACGTAGGGCGTGGAAGCCGCCGTTGAGGCGTTTGTTCCCTGAACGAGCATCATCAATGCTATTGCCAGTTAGTGGGCGATCGTCTACGAATGATCTTCTAATAGTGACTTACAGAGCAGTCTTGATTCGTTCTGTCGGTGTAACTACAGTGACACTCTCGACAGCGCCAGCGATCATACCAGCGAGGATATTTGATCCCGCTGAGTGCTTGCCGTTGGCATCTGCTAATTGAGCCTTTACAGCATCAAAGGAGAGGAAGCGAACACCAGCTTTGGCAGCCGTTCCCTAGTATTATTAGATCAAATATGCCAACTACTTTGCAGGGAGATGCTTACAGCAATTAATGAAGAGCATCCGGTGTAGATTGCTCGAATGCCATCTGAACGAACTGTCTGGCCGATGACAGCAAATGGAGATTTGGAGACGGCTACTCCAGCTGGTGCTTGGCGAGCGCTGAGCTGCGCTACTGTCTTTGCCCACTCAAAAGGGTACTAACCCCGTTAACACTCAATTCTCTCCTCCCAGGCTGTAACAGAAACCTACTGTGATTGTGGCCTCAACACCTCCTGCAACAGCACCAGCAGCCAGAGAAATACCAGGAGTAATCTTCTTTTTCTGCGCAGGCGCTGTCTGCGCTACAGCCTGCTTGGGCAGCGCAGGCTTAGCGATAGGTTGCGTCGTAGCGATGGCGTCCATTTTTGGGGTAACTCGGTGAATGCAAGGTGAAGAGAAAACACGGTCAAGACTTGGCAAATGATGACAAACGAGAGAAAGTAAATAAATAATAAACTAGCAAATAAACAGCATCTACTAGCATTTAAAGGATAGTCGCAGTTTAACAATAGCGGCCATGCAGCCACGGGATGAGGCTCACGGGTAAACATAACTAAGAGTGAAGGGAAGAAAACGGAGATAATTCAACGCTTTGCCCTTTGGGGACTACGACCCGCGGATCAACAGTGGATCCGAGTGGAATTGATCAGCTCAGCCTTCTTCCCGTCTCTTCCCGTCCCTCACAATCTTCCCTCTTTTCTTCCCACCAAGAGCACAGAGCGTAACAATGCCCGCAGAGCCGACGCCTACCCGCGTCCGTAGGCGAGCCACAGAAGCATGCACATTCTGCCGCAAAAGAAAAGTGAGACCTACTACCCCTCCCTTACCCCAGTTCCCCTCACACACATGGTCAGAGTGAGTGAAAGTTCCCGCGGGACTAATTACAGTACCCTAGATCAAGTGTAACGGCCAGAAGCCAAAGTGTATCAACTGCCAGACGTACGAGAAGGACTGCGTCTACGAGCCCGTCCCCGATGTCACCAAAGCAGCAGGCCGCCAGCGCCACCAGCGCACAAAGACCCGTAGCGTCAAGGCCCGCACTGAATCACCCGCCCGTCAGACCAGCGCCCCCGCAGCCTCGTCAAACGGCGACAGCAGTGAAGCAGCGAGCAGTAGTCAGCAGGCAGTGACAACACGCGATGGAGCGCAGCCTCGCCATCAATCGTGGGATCCTTCACCGCGGCCCATGGATTCAGGCGTCGCGAGAGTCGTTGTGCTTGCGAACGGTGAATCGACGTACCATGGACGCACGAGCGCCTTGTTTGAGGATAATGCGCAGGAGAGACCTGTTGAGCAGGAGGTGCAGCCGCGGATGCCGGATCATTGGGTAGAGCGTGGTCTTATCGCTGAGGCAGCTAAGCAGCGTGGGTACTCACCTTATACTTGTTTGTGGTTTGTTAAGCGGTGTGTGAACTAATTGTGCGTGTGAGAGATAGGGCAACTGGAGGAGATCCATTTCGCTAAGGGGCAGCTTGACTTTGACGGCGTTGATCCCGACCTGGGGATGCATCTCCTCTCGCTACACTGGAACCGTCAACACCACTCATTCCTCATCACGTACCGTCCCGCCTTCATGCGGGACATGGCATGTGGAGGACCATACTTCTCCAAGCTGCTCCTCAACGCTATATACTTTGGTTCATCAAAGTTTAGTCCAAGACTCGAAGTTCGAAAGGACGTCAACGATGTTAGGACTGCCGGATGGCGGTATCGCGAGAGGGTTAGGGAGTTGGTCGGAGGGTCGTTGGACAGGAGCGACATCACGACGATTCAGGCGCTGCTTGTCATGACGAATTCATTGTTTGCGCTGGGTGATGAGAGGAGTGCGGCGTGGTTGTATGCTGGGCTTGCGTTTCGTATGCTCATTGATTTGGGGCTGCATGTTGACTTGACGAATTCGCATCAGTTCTCTGATGAGGATCTTGAGATACGACGGCGTGTGTTCTGGGGAGCTTTTGGTATGTACCCTCAACATGATAACAACAAATCCTGACATGGACAGTGGTCGATAAGATTCAGAGTTTGTATCAAGGCCGACCCGTCACCCTCAAAGAGAACGACGCCATGGTTCCGATAAAATTCATCGATACATACTCTGAGCTCGAGTTCTGGCAACCCTTTGCGTACTCAACATCAAAGAACGACTACGCTGGTTCGCCCGCCTACAGTATCTCGACGTTTACTGCGCTCTGCAAGTTGTCTATCGTTATGAGCGATGTCATGAGCACGATATACACCGTTCGAACAACAGACCAAAGCCCAGCTGAGCTGTCGAAAGTGTTGGATAAGCTGCAGAAGAAGTTACGGGATTGGCATACCGCTTTACCAGATCATCTTAAGCCTGAGGTTGCGAATGCACCTGATGCTACAGTTCCTCCACCTCATGTTCTCAGTCTTCAGTAAGTCTCCAATTGCTAGAAGATCATACTTCATACTGACATTCTAGTGCCATGTACCACGTCCTCGTTATTCTCCTCCATCGCCCCTTCGTCGCAGACGGTCATCTCTACAACACATTCCGCTCCATCTCCGTTGACTCAGTAATCAAATGCTCAGCAGCCGCCTCCAGCATCTGCAGTCTTCTACGCGCCTATCACCGCGCATTCTCCGTCCGCCGCGCCCCCTACCTAATCTCCTACGCTACCTACGTCGCCGCAACAATCCACTGCCGCATCGCCGCCAAAAATGGCAAAGGCTCCGCTGCCTACGTCAACCTCATGACATGTCTCGCCGTGTTCAAAGAAAACCAAGAGACCAATTCCGCGGTGCAAAAAGCCGCTGTTATTATTCACAGGCTCATGAGCAAGTACGGCGTTGTGGTTGATGATCTTCCTGATGACGCGCTGGAGGCTGAACCGGCGAGTAAGTCGCGTGATCAACAGCCTCAGCCTCAGCAGCAGCGGGTACAAGCGCAGATTGGGTATGAAGGCTTGGAGAACACGGGGAGCGCACAGACAGAAACATCGCCGAATCAGGAAATGCAACCAGTCGAACTGAGCGGTAGCGCGGTGCCGTCACCGGGTTCAGACTGGATCAACATCGATGGCATCATACAGAGCTTCCTCCGCGAGGGCGACTTCAACGCCAGCAGCGAGCCAACCATGTACGGCCAATACCCCCAGAAAATACCTCAGGTCGACGGGGAGCACTATCTCCACACATCGACAGGTCAACAGCCTGTTTACTTCCCCCAGGGGTTTCCCGCGGGAGGACTGAACAGTTTTGCTACCCCCGTGCCTGGGGCTGGGGACATCGAGGGTGGAAATTCATGGCAG